CAATGAATATTAATATGAGTTTAGTCTGCGTTTGGTGTGATGCAGCACTTCCTTATGGAGCAGCTGGCTAATGAAGATTTAAAGTTCCTTTGCTATTAAAAGTAAATCAACATTATGTTTGTGCTATATATAAACCATTTATGAATTGCAAATCTCTTTTGTCTGTAGGAAACTTTTCAGCTTTTAATTAATATTTTGTGCACAGTTTGATTGATTGTACTACTGCCTATTATTTTGCACTTCGCACAATTTCTGCGCATGTTATGCAATGTATTGATTTAAGTTGTGGACCACGGACTGCCCACTAAGCAACGGAAACACGCATGCGAAACGTGGAACTCGGACGCAGTCTCTGCCCATGCATCAGAAACGAGGCGAATAATTTTTTTCTCTTTTATTATTATTATTTTCATTTKGTGTGTTTTAAACTAAATCAACATGCAATTAACTTGGCTTTTGGATATGTAGCGAACCATTTAAAGAGCGTCGAGCTTTTCAAATGGAATTCCGCATGTTTTTGAACTCGAGGCAAAAGATGCAGGAAATAAAAGCGCCATCTAGCGGAATTTTTCGCTGGTTGTTTGCCAAGCATTGCCACATTGTTGCACATGCAAAAATGCACACTGTGGACATTGCACATACCTTTTGTTGTTGTTGTTACTATTTTGTTTAGATGCCTATTTGTCCATTTGGCACGCAGCGCCAGCGCCTGCCCTTAACCGAATTAGAGTCCAAGTATGGCTTATAAATTACATTAAAATCTACTAATTGATGCCCTGCGTGGTTGGTCTGGGGGGCTCGGGACTCCGAGCCAGGTGCGCCTCACGAACGTGACGGCCTTCGTAACGTTATTATTGAAGAAGAATTTCCAAGAGCCAGCAACAAATATTAAACGCATTACAAAAACCCCAAGCTAGCCTAACCAAAGATACACGCAACGTTGCCTTACAATTTGTTTTCGTTGATTTCCCATTTCGTGCTATTAATTTGCATTGCCCCAATGTTGTTGTTGTTGTTGTTGCTGTTGTTATTTTTGACTTTTGTTTTTATTAAGATTTATAACATTTATTGCAATAAGCTTGGCCTGCCGATTACAACATTTGGAGCAGCAAAGTCTCTGTCTCGGTCTCCCCCTGTCTTTCAGTCTCCCCCGTCTCTTCTACATGCTGCTCTGCGCTGCTTGTCACGTCGCGGCACAAACAAATGCGAATGCGCAGCACAAAAGGCAAGAGCAAAATGCCGGCCTACGCGCGCGTGCTATCTCTCTCTCTCTCTCTCTCTTTCTGACACTCTCACTCTCTTGCAAGCTTAGCTACGCTGAGCTTTAGGTAAGCAGCTGGAAAGCTCGCTGTGTCATTGTTTACACACAAAACCGTTATCAGAATTCAAGGTCTTCGGCTTCCGCTGGCGCCTCGCGCTCTCGTTTCTCATTTCTGCTCTCGCTCTCATTTTCCGTTTCGGTTTCGTTTTCTCTAGGCGCCGGCTGCACCTGCGCGTCGTCTATTTAACCTGGCTCCCCAATCTTCAGTGCGTCAGTCACATCCACGAAAGTGGCCCAAAGAGTTGCGCGCGTTGCCCACTAAAGCGAGTGGAGCCTCCACACTATCCCATTACTTGTTTGTGCCCAAGTGAATAAGTGTTAAATTTTCGGTCGAGGGCTCTTTAAACCCCCAGCCAGCGTTAAGCGGGAGCCATGAGGATCCAGCGGCATTTTGTGGTAATTACCAAATGTGTCACAAAAGACACAAGAGTGCAAGAAAAACAGACAGATAGTGCGAACTGCATGTGTGGTTGTTGCTGCCGCTGTAATTGTTATCTTGGTCTAGGCAGCCAAGCGGAACTAATGGAATATAATTTTGTCAGTTTAATGCAGTTTCCCAAATAGATTGCGAACAATTTGTTTACGAAAGTGCGAGAAGATTGGGCCAACGAGAGCAGACAGACAGACACCTATATRAAAACTATCATTCAGATATGCTTCACATATCAGCGAAGCCAAAGTGTGCTTGGAGCGTGTCTGGAGTATGGGAAATGGCCTGAGCTCATAAGCCATATATGAATATATAATAAATGCATCCATAATAGATCAATTTTAAACAAATTATGAAATGGAAGAGAAGAAATATACTTGGGATAGTTAGTAGGCCATATTTTAAATAGTTGATTAATTTGGGTTATTTGATTTTGAGTAAAATTGAAAGTGGAAAGTCGCTAGACAGCCTATGTGCCATATTATATATAGATTTATCATAATCTTGATTGATTAGTGGTTTATTAATTATATATATAAATATTTTCGGATTATCGGCTCAATGCAACTAGTTACAAGAAGACGAAGCTATCCATGTAAAATATATTTATAGTGAAATGAAAAAGCATTCTTTTCCTTTTGTCATATTCACTGAAAGGCGTGTTTCGCTTATTTTCATTAGCGATTTTCCAGCTCTCTTTTTTGGTCAGCTACTGTCACCTGGCAATCGCACGACATTTGCCTATTTTAGTTCCCCTCTCTGTTTCCCCCGGCTCCACACTCTTAATCTCCATCTGTTTTTGGGGCCTTTCAATCGCATTGTCAACAATTAAAAGCGCACAAATATGCTGACTGCGAGATAGTTTCATTAGCGCTTGCCCATGCAATGCATTTGAAGTTAGACAGACTCTTTTCCCTCACGATCGATGATCCAATGGCGGTTGGCCTAACCACTCGGCCCCCCTCGAGAGACGACAGACGACTTTCACTGCTGGCTCACCGCGGAAACTGCGACGTACTCCCAGCAGCAAAGAGCTACTGCAATAGCAACGGCAGCCGCAATTAGCACCCTCCATCTCAAGCAATGAGATAATTTTTTTGCTGGCGCTAATTTAGATTTCATAATCGGATCGAAGTTGACATTCGTGCGCAAATTGATTGGGATTATGTGAATTGAAGTTTGAGTGATTTGGTCGATTATGTAGAAATACCCAAGTCAAAGACGACAGCAAATTGACGCCAAATGCTTTGACCTCGCCAGCAGCTGCAACACGCTACCAAATTTGGAGCCTTAAACTTGCAACAGAGGCGACGCCAACGCCAACGCAAACGGAGACAGATCCAAAAGCGGCAATTATTTGCATAATGGCAAAAAACACAAATAGTTTTGGGCTCTGCCTTATAGAGAAAGAGGCAATGCCCTAAATTAAGCTACATAAGCAGACAGGCATTGCCTTTGCCCCCTCCCCCGCAGCAGTGACTTTGACCTGAAACCGGGTTAGACTTTATCATCTCTAACTGGCATACTTATTAAGCCAACCAAAATATTAAAAATACTGACGTAATATTTCACTCTTACTTGCCCCGGAGTCGCAGTCAACGGACTCTCAGTGCAAACAATGCGAATAATATTAAAAGACGAAAATCAAAACATAAAAATAAAACAGAATGGAATGAACTGAGTCGTCAGCTCACTGACCCAGTTAAAACTGGTTGTTGCCGTGCCTTAATGCTTCACATGAAGAATATTTAATTAATTACCATAATCGTTGCGAATTCGTTTTGATCCCTAGACGGTCACGTTTGTTGCCTAAGTCTTTTGTATTTGTTGTACGTTGACTAATAATAATGATGACGAATGTATGTTTATTTTCCGCAGTTGGGTTTGCTCGGCGTGCTCTCTGTTGCCAGCAGAGCTATCCATGCCAAAGCTGTCGGCGATCAAAAGACAGCCGAGTCCCAGGTGAGCAGCAAGAGCGTCGCTCAGCAGCGTATTGGCGACGGCTTCGGCCTGGGCCTCGACCTCGGCATTGGCGAGGAGCACATACACGAGCACCACGAGCACCATGAACACCATGAACATCACGATCCCGGCTATTGGAAGAAGAAGGTCACGTGGAAGGAGGGCTGGAAGAAGATTTGGAATCCAGCCAAGAAGCAAATCTGGAATCCATCGTGGAAAAAGGTGAGTGAAAGCGATTATCAAGGCTGTTCCTAAAGCTAACTCTAATCGAATTCTATTACAGATCTATAAGCCGCATTGGGTGAAAGTTCCAGGCTGGAAAGAGATTCAAGTGCCCGCTTGGAAACAAATATGGGTGCCGCATTGGAAGGAGATTTTGGTACCCGCCTGGAAGGATATTCAGGTGCCTGACTGGAAACAGTATTGGACACCAGAGCTAGTCAAGGTAAAGCTTAATCCAATTATACTCCCTGCATTATTATATAAGAATCTACACATTTCTGTAGGTTGGCATTCCTGGCGAGAAATACTTGGGCAAGGATCATGAGGGCTGGGAGTACACCAGTCACGATCTGTGGAAGAAGAAAGTTGTGTGGAAGTCACACTGGAAAAAGATCTGGAAGCCAGCCAAGAAGCAAATTTGGGTGCCAGAAAAGAAACTGGAATGGAAGGAAGCATGGAAGCAGTACTGGAAACCAGCCAAGAAACAAATCTGGAATGACAAACTGGAGTGGAAGGAGGCATGGAAACAAATCTGGGTGCCCGGCTGGAAGGAGATTTGGGTGCCTGGCTGGAAGAAAATCTGGAAGCCCGTCGTTATATCCGAATGGTTCCCCACGCCCGATCATCATCACGAGCATCATCATGACGTTGGCTGGGATTGGGATCGCAAGGACAAAGCGGCCACCAGTGGAAAGGACAAAGTCGTATGGAAGCGCGATGACAGCAATGCGTCAGGCGCAAAGCCAACGCAACTGAAGCCAGTGGCCAGCGCTGACTTTCAAGCCAAGACGCTTGAGGCGGCCAAATCGCCAATTGCCGCAGCCGCACCTGCCGGCGCAACAGCGCAGTCATTCAAGTTTCCAGGCGCGTAGAGCGCCCATGAATATATGAGTGCATATACATACATATATACATATACATACAAACATACAAATGTACCATACCCGCCCAGTTCCGAGCTCCTTGTAAATAGTTACAAACCAGTCGCTAGCATGTAAGGCCCACTTTTGCTCTGGCGTACACTTAAATTATGTCTTAGACTTAATGAGCGTTTAATTAACAAGTAAATAAATAAATAAATAAACCTAATGCCTAAAGGTTGGTCAGTCTTGTCATGAGTCTAGGAGTAGGAGTCCAGTTCATGTTTGCCCTTCTTCTCCTTCCAGGCATCGGGCGCCGGCGCGTTGGGCAGCGGTATCCACTCCCTGAGTATGGTCGGTGTCCAGACCTTTTTCCACACAGGCTCGTAAATGCGCTTGGCCCGCCAGTACTTCACCCACCGTGCATTCCAAGTAGTTCGATTCGTCCAGAAGCCATCCAACTGCGGCTCCACTGTGTCCGTATGACGTACACTACAATCGGCAAACAGGAAGCGTGTTCCAGTAGAGTGAAAGTCGTTTTCGACAAGCTATTGCACAACATCCTCTCAACACACTTACATGGTCGTCGTCTGGCCGCCCACAGTCGAATCAATGGACATGAGGACGACGAGGAGCAGCGGAGCTGCAAACAGGCAAATCCGCCCACACTTCCGTCTGCACTGCTCTGTCGTCGTCACCATCCTGTCAGCTGTCTGACACCTGTGCCTGTTCACTCGGCTGTCGCGCATTGTGGATCCATTCATGTTTCGCAATCGACTGACACTTTCATAGACTTTTCTCCCAAAGTTAAATAGCTCTCAAGACCTATTGAAATTCATGAAGCGCACGCGCGCGCGCATGTTTTAATGAATTGCAAATTCGCGTAGTTTACACGAGTTGCGCGTGAAAATTGTTATAAAAAACGTACGAGATTATATAATACGCACATTAAAGAGCATTAGTTTCGGATAGTTTGTTTGTTTTTTAATCGACTATTTTTTTTTTTTTTTTTTTTTTTTTTTTTTTTTTTTTTTTTTTGCTGCATTTCTTTCTATGCTTAAGGTAAAATTTGCAAATCAAATGTGAGTGTAGGTGTGACAAAGCTTAGATAGCTAAATACGTGTGTGTGTAATATATATATATATCTATATCTAGCAAATGTATCGTAAAGTAACTGTTACCCATAGTGAACATAATTTCGATTGAAGCTCTATTGTCTAGAGAGAACATGCAACATATAAAACTATATAGCTAAGCTTAGGCATAACTTAAGATCTAAAACATGCAGCACATATACATAAATATATACATGTATGCATATATATATAGACAGATAAATTTTGATAGCAATTCTTTCATACAATCCATTTAAAGCCTATGTTTACCGTTTCGAGTATGCGTTGAATAGTTTCATTTCTGATTCTTTGCTACAAAGTAGCTAAGCACTATTTAGCAATTAATTAACTAATTAATTAACATATTTATATTTAGAAGGCGGTACAAATGTTGTTTGCATAAAGTGCAGCAGTTTAGTTTTTAATTGATCTATATATATATATTGTGTTTTGTAAACTATTCTTGAGTTAAAAATTAATATGGCACAATTACGCGCATACAAAAACTTAAATGTCGTAAATGGTGATAATGATGTTTTGTTTTTTGTTTTTGTTTCATTTACAGCTAATTACAAGATACAAAGAAATAACATTTAAGTCACACAGAAAAGCATTCGAGATAGTGGGCCAAGCCAGAGTCACAGCTCGTAACATGTTGAGAAATCGGCTAATGAGACGAGATATAACCAATAGTTAAAGTCAGCTGTGACTTGCACAAAATATATATTATATATCAATTGCAATTTGTCGAGTGCGTGTGAGTGTGTGTTTGAGTGTGTTTCATCGGCTTCAGCTTTAGCTTCATCTTTATCTTGAACTTTATCGTCATCTTCATCTTGTTTATCTTGTTCTCTGCTAGTCTGTCAGTCTTTTGAAATACCATTTGAAATCGTTTCGCTTACGAATTACAATTTGTTCGTTAGTTTTGTTGTTCTGGTTGTCGTTGTTATTGTTGTTTGTTTGTTTGTTCGCTTTTTGTTTTGGTTTTGGTTTGTTTTTGGTTAACAAGCAGAGAGCTGCAGGAATGTTCTATGTTGTGTGTTAGCTGTGTTGTGTCGTGTCGTTTTGGGTGATACAATGAAGGGCTAATTAACACTAATTGTTGAGTACATCATTTATATCAATACACAAATATCTCGTTGGCGCTCTCACTCGAAGGACATCAGATTGGCGGGCAGTGGCTTTGGCGCACGCGTCGACGCCAGCTTGCAAATGGCGTTCGTCCACAGGTGCGTCATCTGTGGACTGTCCGCGCGAAACTTGTAAACGGTGCCCAGGGTGCGGTGGTATAGCTCAAATGAATTCTTATGCTTCGTATTGTCGATGACGTGCGCACTCCAGCCCTCCAGCGGACACACCTTGCACGGCTCGCGCTTGAAGTCACCGCGCTCGCTGCCCTTGAACGACTTGGGCGGGAAGTAGACGAGCGAATTGGCCCATATCTGCACCCAGTACCGCTGCCAGGATGCAACAGCGGGCTTTCGGCCCTCCTTCTGCACCGTCTTGCGACGCAGGCAGCCCTGCATGGCGGCCGCTGCCTCGGGCGACATCAGATCACAGTTGCTGCCCGTTAAGTCGCTCAGGATGCCCTCGGCGCTCTCCAGAGAGGTCAAGTCGGCATTGGACAGAGCATCGCTGTGCTCCAGCACGGAGTCGTCGAGCAGATGATGACGCGGCAGCCCAGTGCCAATCAGATCGTGTTCCAGATGCAAGTGGTGCGGATGTCCATCGTAATTGTTTTGCGTTATTTTGCCAAAGATGCTGCGAAAGCACAGATGAAAATCAGTTTGTTGTTGTTGTGGGTGATGGAACGGCACGCCTTAGTAATAGATGTGTTTATTCACAAAGGGGGCGTCATGCAGACAAGCGTTCAAGTGGGCTCAAATTAAACACAATGTAAGCAACTAACAGCGCGTTCGTGTTTGTGTGTGTGTGCGTGTGCGTGTGTGGGCGTGTATAAAACAGTGGGTGTATTTGTATGTGGCTGATCGATGATCATTTGTGGCAAAGATGAGCTGATGAAACAGAAATCATTTGGCTAAATTCAAACAGCTAATTTACACCCAAAGCAAAACGTGTGTATGAGTGAGCGTGTCTTCTGTGTTTTGTTTTACCCCTGCAGAGATCATTTATCTACGATTCTATTAAGCTCTAATGCAAAAGTTATCAAAAGTGTTTGCACATCCTGCACTTTATATATCGGAAATATATATCATATATGTAGACGTTTTGTGTCATTCAAGATGTCTTCCAATGATTATGCCCCTTACTTTACATGAATATCTAATAGCTAACCAAATCATATAATACAATAGAAACGGAACTGATTCAAGCAAAGCCTTTGAATGACAAACAATTTACATTTTCATGATATTCCAACTAAACTAAGAAATCAAACCCATTAATCAGTTTTTTATGCTTTTTCTTTACATATCTTCATTACATTTCCCTTCGCAATTTACTGATGTCAATATCTGCAGGTGCATATAATTTTCGGCAATCCGAAATTCAACTTGTATATCTTGTACTCAAGTGTTTGTACAATGATGAGTCGTTTGTTTGTATGTAAGCATTTTAAGTTGGGTCCGTGCACACAAACTGATGGAAATAAGGATTAGAAAATGAATAGAAAATGTTGAAATGCATAACCTAGCTATAGGCTACGTTGGCTACGTAGGCACTCACCGGCGGCATCTGCAGCGCTTGTTGGAGATTGTGCCAATGCCCGGCGCAATCATTACAATGCAGCACTGACACCTTTGTGCAAAGTTGCGCGGCAGGCTGCTGCTGCGAAATCTAATTGCAGTTGCAGTTACAAACAGATACAAGGTACAGATACAAAGATACAAAGAACGAAAGCGAAAAGCAAAAAGCATAAGTGGACATGTACAAGAGACAATCAATTCATAATAATAACAATATTAAGAGTAAAGAAATGTTCACAGAGTAAAATGTTAACGTTTGTTTGGCACCCCCAACGGTCAGTCCAATTGCACAGTGAAGAGTTTTGTGTTGAGTGATGTTTAAAACGAAATAGAAAGTTTGATTTGGTTTTGATTTTCTTTTTTTCATTGGGACGCAACACGAATCACAAAAGTGTTTGATTGGCAGTTAGAATATGCGCGCGAAGACATTTGAGTGCTGAGAATTGATTTGAAGTGGCTAACTTACTTGGTGCCCAGGCTGCGGCACTTTCGATGGCCCGGCACAAACTTTGTCCCACTGGCCATGCGCATGGAGCCGATGGTCTTGGCAGGCGACAGATTTAAGCAGCCGAGAGCTGGTGTCACGGATTCCACATTGAATGATTCCTTCGAGCTGCACGATGACGAGCTGGGTCCAGAGGGCGAGGCGGGTTCCAGGTTCAACGAGCGTCTGTTTGAATTGATTTACAAAGTTAGTTTATCAATTCATATTGACTGATTTAAAGTGATCCCAATTACTTGTACTGATCCTCCTCGAATATGTTTTGCAGCTCTTCAATGTAGCGTATGGAGGTGAGATATTTCTGCGTGGACTCATGCGGCTGTATGTGCTGATAGTTAGATTGCTGATAGTTCGAGATGACGCGCAGTATATTGTTCATCTTATTGCGCCGCTGCTCTGGCTCCAGGCCTCCCTTATGCGGATGCGCCAGATCGATGTAAATCAGGTCTGTCAGAAAGAGACCCAAATAGGGTATGCAAGGCAGACGTAGACTCTCCAAATACGAGCGCAAATTAGCCCAGTTATTCTGATCGCTAAATATTTCGCTCAGCCGCTCGAAAGACTGCCGATCCTTCTTGGACAGACAGGCCCAGGTCTTTTTCAGACGATAAATGCTGGCGCTTTGCATGGCCGAGATGATGGCGAACAGCGAATGCAGGTTGTTCAGTTCGTGCAGTTTCTTGGCCACCTGTAAGATAAATTCATATTAATATATAATGCACTTATGAGATATAAGAGATATGTTCCACCTTGATGAAGTGTGTCATGATCTCAGCACGCTGCTTGGGCTGTTCGGCATTGAGTATCTCCTGCACTGTCCAGAAGCTGGTGTGATTAAAGCGCTTGGTAAACGCCACAATATTGGGCGTAACCACATGCTTGTCCTTTTTGGTCCAAGCACAGCTGCTCAACTCATCCGGTTGTATGAGCGCGAAGACGGGAAAGTCGAGCAGCGTTATCTGATTGGCCAACACATCGGCGGGTACACGCAATGCACTGAGAATGACTGCATCCAGCTGCTTAATGGAGCCATGCGCTGGCAAACTCTGTGATTTGTTTGCTGGCGCGGCGGTTGTACTGCAAATGAAGAGAGAATTGAATTAATTTTGCTATACATTTATTGAATTTAATTCAATTAGCTGTGTGCTCTTACGCTATGCTGTAGTAACAACCGGGTGAGTCTGGGGACGAGCTAAAGCTGGTCAAGCAGCCGATGGAGTTCTTGCGACGTGTGCTCTTAATGTTCAGTGTTTTGCTGACTGGCTGCTGTGCCTGCGCCTGCTCTGCCTGTAGTTCCTTTGGCCCTTTGTCCTGACGCAAACAGGCCATGGTGTGTGCATTGCCATTGGAGTTGCGCTGCTTCGGCTGCCTCAAATGCTGTGGCGATACCTGCGCCTGACAACGTGTCTGTGTGGGTGAAGCCGTAACAAAAGTTTGCCCCCCATAGTTCACATAGTCCGCTGCAGGTTTTCTGCCAATCTGTATGTGTGTATCAAAGAGAAGTATGAATAAGGGTTGTGTGGGGGATAGAAGGAGCTGACTTACCTCTGAGTAGCGCAGATTATCCGTGGTTAAGTCGCGCGATATTTCCGAATAGCGCA